TGGCTCCCCTCTTTCGGTCCTGGTGTTTTCTTTCATCCTGTTGCTCTTTCCAAGAAGCAGTGTTTGAGTTCATCTTGGACTTCACATCTTTTCTCTATTGTTGTCTTCTCTCTGTTTACTTTGGGATTAAATTTGCTTTACTGTTCCTGTTGATTTTTTTCCTTTGACCTTTAGCTTAGTACAGAAGACTTTATTTGAATATATTTTGGGTTTTTACAGAAATTCTGTTGTTGGTTGCTCGTTCACCTCCCTTGTCAGAGAACGTCTTTGATTGATTTCAGTTCTTTCACACCCACAGAAGTTTGCTTCATTGTCCTGCGAACCGCGGGTCTTGACGCGTGTTTTCTGTGCACCTGGAAACAACACGCGTTCTGTTTCTTTTGGGTGAACCATTGGACAAATGTCGGGCAGGCCGTGTGGTGACAGTGTTTCACGTTTCTGTCGGCTGTGCTGCTGTTCTGTCTGCTGCTCGGTGACACGTGCTGAGCGCCCTGAGACCGGGACCCCATCTCGTCTCCCTTTAGTCGGTGTGTGCGCGTCTGGTGACTTGGCCCCTTGTTACTTTATGCAGTGTCCCTGTTGTCCCTGGCGTGCCATCCTCAGTGCATTCAATGTGACTGTAGCCACCGCAGCTTTCTTTGGTGAGTTATCAGCATGGCGCACTGTTTCTATCCTTTGGCTTCTGACCTGTTTGTGTCTTTATGTTTTTAGTTTGTTTCTTGTGGGCGATAGAGTTAGTCTCACTTTTTTATCCAATCTGACGATCCCTGCCTTTTATTTTTTTTAAGATTTTATTTTTATTTACTTGAGAGACAGAACATGAGAGGGGGAAGGTCGGAGGGAGAAGCAGACTCCCTGCTGAGCCGGGATCCCCATGCAGGACTCGATCCCAGGACTCCGGGACCACAACCTGAGCCGAAGACGGTCGTTGAACTAATGAGCCCTGCAGGCGCCCCAACCCCAGCCCCTTAAAAAAGCAGGTTTCGGCGTGTCTAGGGCAAGTTGCGCGCTTCTCCTTGACTCTCACTCTCCCGTTGCAGGACACGTCACTTCTGGTTACCAAATGTGTGGGTGCTTTTCCCCACCGTGACCAGTTCTCCAGCCCCCGCAGGGTGTCCTCAACTGAACGCACTTCTCACACCATCTGCCTGGAGCGTCCCATCCCACGGGGAGGGGCTGTGTCCCACAGACTGCCCCCCACTCGAGAAGCAGTCCCCTAGTGGGGCAGGTCCCCGGGTTACCCACAGCCTCTGTCTGACGTGGGTCCAGGTGGGATCCCCAGGAGCCCCTTCTGGAACCTTCTCACCTGCTAGAACAGCTCGCAGAACTCGGGGAAGCGCTGACTCCCGTTCCTCTGCTTATCGCTTAGCGAAGGGTGTGATGAAGGCCACGGATGCAGCTGGGCCCACAGCTTCTCTCCTGTCTCTGTCCACGGCCAGGTGGGTGCAGGGTGGGTGCTGGGAGAGCCCCGAGCACAAGAGCTTCTGTCCCCCAGAGCTGTGGTGCATCACCTCCCGGCCCGTGGATGTGGTCCCCAATCTACAGGTTCTCGGAACCCCACACGTTTGGGGTTTTTACGAGGCTTAATCACATGGGCGTGATCAGGTGTCCACTGACTCCCCATCCCCCCTCCCCCTCTCTGGAGAATGGGGAGCAAGGTGAAAACCCCAGCTTGGGATCACAGCTCGGTCCCTCTGGTGACCCGTCCCCACCCAGGAGCCCACCCAGAGTCGCCTCATCAGAACAGAAGACACTCCAGGCTCCCAGGAGGGTCGAGGGGTTTCAGGAGCCCGTGCCAGGACCCGGGGGGGGGGGGGGGGGGGGGGGGGGGGGGGCAAAGACCTAACACATGTGTTTCTCATATTATTCACACTGGGATTAATTGACATTCAGTAAATCACACATGTTTAAAGTACACAGTTTGGTAGGTAAATATCTACACCCACATGTTTACATCCCATTGATGTAGATTAATAGCTGCTGTCTGTGGGCATAACCCATATATGTAGGTCTGCGCACAGCTGACATCCGACTAAGTTACAAAGGCATTTCTCCGTTGTTGAAAAGGATAGTCTTTTCAGCAAATGCTGTTAGAGCAGTTAGCTATTCATATACAAAACAATTTAAGTATCTCAAAGATCTAAATATAAAACAAGGTGGTAAAACTAGAAGAGAAAACACAGGAGAAGATCGCTGTGACTTGGGTAGGCAAAGATTTCTGAACATAACCACAAAAGCACAATCCATAAAAAACCAAATTGGTAGATTGGGCTTTGCTTTTCAAAATACACTGCTGAGAAAAAGACAAGCTTGAGACTGGGGGATAATACTTAAAAATCACAGACGTGATAAAGGGCTCGCTCCCAAATGCAGCGAAAGCTCTCAGAACTCAGTTCAGGAGCTCAGTTCTCAGGAACCGCCCAGGCTGGCGAGAGCACAGGCGGATGGCTCACAGGGAGCCTGGACCCGCACATAAGATGCTCGGCCTCGTCAGGCTGTCAGGGACACACTGGCCATGTTTGCACATCTTAACACGCTTTCCCTGTCTTGCTGTTACTTTTGGAGCGTCACATCCCAGGATTTGGACACTAGCCGTCCTGGTGGGTATGAAGTGATCTCTCTGTGCTTCCGATTGTCCTTGCGCGTCCGTGTGGGTCGAGCCCAGGCCTTTGTCCATTTGCAGGCCGGCTTGTTGGTCAGTTGCCACAGCTCTTTGTTTATCCTGGATGTCAGCCCCTCATCAGATGTGAGATTTGCAGACGTTTTCTCTCTTTCTGAGTCTTGTCTTTCCACCCCGTGCACAAGTTTTAAATTTTTCAGTTTTTTTCCCTTGCTTTTTCCTCTTGTTTTATTTCTGTTGCTATGTCTTCATAATTAGTGATCTTCTCTTTTGTTACGTCTAAACTGCTGTTGACCCCATCCAGGATATTTTCAAGTACTGCATTTTCATTACTAGAGATTTCATCCAGGTCCTTTTTTTTTTTTTTTTTTTTTTTTTTTAAGATTTTGTTTATTTATTTCACAGAGAAAGAGAGAGCAAGAGAGCAAGCAGAGGCAATGGCAGAGGCAGAGGGAGAAGCAGACTTCCCACTGAGCAGGGAACCCAACTCGGAGCTCAGTCCCAGGACCCTGAGATCATGACCTGAGCCAAAGGCAGAGGCTTAACCCACTGAGCCACCCAGGCGCCCCTGCGTCCCAGTTTTTAATCCATTCGTGGATCACATTTCGGTTGTTTCCACTTTTTGTCTGACGCTGTCCACGTGCGGGGCTCTGGGTGCGCACATGGTTTCATTTCCCCTCAGTGTCTACACAGAAGTGGGATCGCCGGGTCGTAGGGTGACTTGGCATACGTTTGGGAAGCTGCCAGAGTGGTTTTCGAAGAGGCCCCGCCGTCCCGCCCCCGCCAGTGAGCACAAGGGCACCGTTTTTCCACATCCTTGTCCCCACTTGCTGTTGTCTGTCTGCGTCTAGCCATCCTGGTGGGTGTTGCATTGTGGTTCTGATTTATATATGCTCACAGTTCTGTTTTTAAGAAGTCTTTTCCAAATGTGGCTACTCATTTTTATAGTGTTTTTTTTTTTTTTGCTCGTTTCTTTTTGTTTTCTGGATTTTATTTAAAAAAACAAGAACAGCTTACACATGTAATTGTACGTAGGAACTCTGTAATTACACCTTCTGTTTTAGAAACGCAGTCACACGGGCTTGCTCTGCGCCTGCGGCGCTGCGGCGAGCCTGGCCGCTCTGGGTCAGGAGCCCGCGCCGCACTTACTCCGGCCGCCCTGCTCCCTGGGTGCCTGCTGATACTTCATTTAGAAGCTCTTTTTTTATTCTGAGTATTTGGCTGAACTTTGTGGAGTTCAGGATTTGGGACGCTTTCTGGGAACCCTGCGCTTGCTCGTGGCAGAGCTGGCTGCGGAGCGCGCCCGGTTTCTCAAGCTGAGCGCACGCCCTGCTTTGCCCAGGAGGCTCCAGCCGAGCCTGTCGTCTCCACGTCCCCGTCAGTCCTGCCTCCCCGGGCTCGCAGAGGCGTGCGGCTTTGGGACACGGTGGGGCCGGCCTCGCCGCTCGGGCTGCTGGCGCTGGCGGGCAGCTCACCTGGCTGGGGCGCGGCCCTCGGGGCCTCCTCCCCCCCACGCTGTGTGACACACACCCCCTCACCTCCCACGGAGTCTTTGCTTCTCGTTTTCTTGTCTCCGCCTTGTGCGTTTTTATTTGGGGCTGGCTGAGCCCAAGGTCCGGAATCTGCCTGTTGTCCTCCCGCCTGGCATTCTGGTTTCGGTTGAAGAGTGGCGTTAAGGTTTTCTGTGCTGATTGTACGTACAGGAAACCCCTGGTTGCCGTGGGGAGACCTTGTGAGCCTGTTGCGGGTTTCCTAGAAGCTGCTGTCGCACAGAAGCGCACTCTTGTCCGCTCTCTGCCTCCTGTTGCTGCCCCACTGGCTTTCTCGCGGACGGCTTCCTCCCCCCGCAGCTCCCGTCGTCCGCCCGTGTCCGCGCCGTCCCCACGTGCCGCGCGCCTCCTGCTTGTGCTCCTGGATCCGAGCGCCGCCGGCCGGCTCCGTGCGTCTGCTCCCAGCCCGGCCGAGCGCCCCTGCCGCGCTGCAGACGGACTCGCGCCCTCAGCACTGGGAGTTGCTCTTTTCTTTGTGGCGTTCAGTGTCCCGTCGGAAATGACAGGTCGGCTGGGTTTCGTCCCCACTTGGTGTGTTTGTTCTTAGGACGGAGCACGAGGAGAGCTGCTCCTGGGGGCCCGGAGCCCCCAGCCCTTAATGACTGGGCCCTTGGGATTTAAACTCCTGCCCTTATATTTTGCTTATTTTGTATTAGGGTATTTTCCTTGTATCAGTGGATTGTGAAACGTCAAGGAACCCGTGTTTTCGATTTTAACTTACCGTGACGGGACTTTTCCTGTGCATGTCGAGGCTGATGGACCCGTGACGGAACAGATTTGAAATGGACGATTTGGGTCCGTGCTGACCTGGACTCTGTCTCCTCTTACAGACGCTGCGAGAGGGTCGTCGTGCTGCTGAGATGACGACGGTCCGGTTTCCGGGAGAAGATGCAGGTCTGCGCTGCGTCAGTGCGTGTCTGCGTCGAGAAGCAGGTCGCGGCGGGGCTGCCGGCAGGTGGCGGCCCGCGCCCTGAGGCGAGCTGGCGTGCTCCCCACGTGCCCGCTCCTTCGGTTGGGTTTATGATTGGCTGCGCTCGTTCACATTCGAAAGATGGAATTCGTCTTCCAAGGCTGAAGATGGTGTACATTTGGGGGTACAGATGAGCCTTCGGATCGGGTTTTTACCCACCTCTGATAACACGACGACGCGGCCCGAGTAGTTATGGTCAGTTATGGAGAATAACCAGGAAACTCATCCCAAAAGGGGTGGTGAATTGGTTTCTGATAAAATAAATTGTAAAATAGAAGAGGAAGATGGTGTTCGCATCCCTAATCACAGTTTGGAAGGAGTGGCGTTTAAGAGTGAGCAGGACAGGCCCGGGACAGAGGGAGGTGGGGAGCAGACAGAGTTGAGGGAGGCGGGCGGGGGCTGCGAGCCCCCCGGGCAGTGCCTCCCTGCCGACCAGGAGGAGGAGTACGGGGCTCTGTTCTCCCAGTACAGCAGCACGCTGTACGATGTGGCCATGGAGGCCATGACGCAGAGCCTCCTCTCGGGCCGGGGCGCGGGCTCCAGGAAGAAGTCGCCGGCCTGGAAGCATTTCTTCATCTCCCCGCGGGACAGCACGAAAGCCATCTGCACGTACTGCATGAAGGAGTTCAGCAGAGGGAAGAACGAGAAGGACCTGAGCACCAGCTGCCTCATGAGGCACGTGAGGAGGGCGCACCCCACCGTGCTGGGCCAGGAGAACGGCGGCGGGCCGGCCCTGCCCTCCCTGTCGCCCCCGCCCCTGCGGCTGCCGCCACAGCCCGCCGATGCGGGTGACCTGGGCGCCGCGCTCTCGCCCCTCAAGCTCGCCCCAAAGTTGGCGTCCAAGGTCCTGCCCCCCGACGACGTGACGGAGGAGCCTGTGGTCCCCTCCGAAGACGTCCCCCCCGACACATCTGCCCCTGACAGGTACGGGCGGGAGGAGGCCCTGGGGGGGCCGCCGCACCTGCCCCCGCTGCCGGGCGAGGAGCGTGTGGAGAACGGGCTGGAGAGAAACCCCGCGCTCCCCAAGGGCACGTCCGGGTCCCGCAGGCGGTCGGCTGTGTGGAAGCACTTCTACCTGTCGCCACTGGACAACTCCAAGGCCGTGTGCGTCCACTGCATGAACGAGTTCAGCCGGGGTAAGAACGGGAAGGACCTGGGCACCAGCTGCCTCATCAGGCACATGTGGCGGGCGCACCGCTCCATCGTGCTGCAGGAGAACGGCGGGGGCTCGGGCATCCCGCCCCCGTACGCCGCGCCCCCCACGCTGCTGCCCGCCCTGCCGCCTCCCGATGGAGACCCGAGCTCCGTGGCGTCCTCGCCCGGGAAGCCGGCCCGGGCATCCCCCTCGGCGTCCTCCTCGCCAGAGCGGCTGCCCGAGGAGCTGCAGGTGCGTCTGAGCGCCGGGGACGCGCTGGCGGAGGACACGGCGCTGTCCTTGGACGACGTGGGCGAGGCCTCGCTGGCATCCTCCCCCGAGAAGCCCCAGGCTGGTGGCCTGAGCCCCGGCCTGCTGGACTATGGCGCCGGGTCCCAGCAGAACAGGAAGGTGATGAAGAGGCTCAAGTCGGAGGTGTGGCAGCACTTCTCGCTGGCCCCCACGGACAGCCTCAAGGCCGTGTGCAGACACTGCGCCTGCGTCATCAGCCGGGGCCGCAGGGGCGACGTGGGCACCAGCTGTCTGATGCGGCACCTGTACCGCCGGCACGCGGACGTCGTGGGCGCCCCAAAGAGCGCGCTGGGCGCCAGCCTGGCCAGCTCTCCCTACGCCACGCTGGCCTCCGCGGAAGGCGCCCCCTCCAGATTGCCTGCCCTGCCCACCGTGGTCACGAGAGACGACCCGGTCCTCTCTCCCGTGAGCAGCAAGAAGACCTCCAAGCTGTGGAACCACTTCTCCATCTGCCCCGCGGACCCCACGAAGGTCGTGTGCCTGCACTGCGGCCGCACCATCAGCAGGGGCCGGAAGCCCGCCGGCCTGGGCACCAGCTGCCTCCTGCGCCACCTGCAGCGCTTCCACAGCGGCGCGCTCAAGGCCGACGCGCCCCGGGCCGCCCGGGCTTCCTCGCCCGGCCCGCGGGGGCCCCTGAGCGCCCACCTGCCGGGAGCCGCCTCCTTCGAAGACCCCAGTGAGAAGTTCTACGATTCTCATCCCGTTGCCAAAAAAATCACGAGTCTCATAGCTGAGATGATTGCACTTGACCTCCAGCCATACTCCTTCGTCGACAACGTCGGCTTTCACAGGCTGCTCGGACACTTGAAACCTCAGTACTCCGTGCCCTCCCCGGCCTACTTCTCGGGGACGGCCATCCCAGGGATGTACAATAACGTGAAGCAGATAGTCCTGTCGCAGCTGAAGGAGGCGGAGAGCGGCGTGGTCCACTTCACGTCCGGGATCTGGATGAGCACCCAGACCCGCGAGTACCTGACGCTCACCGCCCACTGGGTCACCTTCGCGTCATCGGCCCGGCCGTACCGCGAGGACCACCACGGCTCGGCCCTGCTGGACGTGTCGCAGGTGGACTGCGACTACAGCGGCAGCAGCATCCGGAAGCAGCTGGAGGGCTGGTGGGAGGCCTGGGTGACGTCCACTGGCCTGCAGGTGGGCATCACGGTCACCGACAACCCGAGCATCGGGAAGACGCTGAGCGAGGGGGACCGGGCCAGTGTGCAGTGCTTCAGCCACACGGTCAGCCTGGTGGTCAGCGAGGCCCTCAAGAGCCAGCGCATGGTGCAGAGTCTGCTGAGCACCGCGCGGAAGCTGTGTGAGCGGGTGCAGCGCTCGCCCCGGGCCAAGGAGAAGCTGGCGGAGCTGCAGAGGGCGTACGGGCTGCCGCCACACCACCTCCTGCAGGACGTCCCGTCCAAGTGGAGCACGTCCTTCCACATGCTGGAGCGGCTCGTCGAGCAGAAGCGGGCCGTCAACGAGGTGTCGGTCGCGTGCAGCTTCCGGGAGCTCATCAGCTGCGACCAGTGGGAGGTGATGCAGTCCGTGTGCCACGCGCTGAAGCCCTTCGACGCGGCCAGCCGGGAAATGAGCGCGCACGCGTCCACGCTCAGCCAGGTCATCCCCATGATTCACATCCTGAACCGCAAGATCGAGATGCTCTTCGAGGAGACCATGGGCATCGACACCATGCTCAAGTCCCTGAAGGAGGCCATGGTGAGCCGGCTGGCCGCCACCCTGCGTGACCCGAGGTACATCCTGGCCACGCTGCTGGACCCGCGCTACAAGGCCTCCCTGTTCTCGGAGGAGGAAGCGGAGCAGTACACGCGGGACCTGATCCGGGAGCTGGAGGCGCTGAACCCTACCTCAGATAACACACCCGTCCCCAACGGCTGCGATGCGGGCGCCCCCTCGCAGGGCGCGGTCGGGGAGGAGAACCTGTGGTCCCTCATGGCCAAGATGACGAAGAAGGGCCCCCGGGAGAAGACGAAGGTGCCCGAGGACATGGTGCTGGCCTACCTGGAGGAGGAGGTCCTAGAGCACGGCTGCGACCCCCTCACCTACTGGAACCTGAAGAAGGCAGCCTGGCCGGGCCTGGCCGCGTTGGCCGTGCGGTTCCTGGGCTGCCCGCCGAGCATCGTCCCTTCCGAGAGGCTGTTCAACACACCCACAGAGAACGGCAGCTTCGGCCAGTCCAGGCTCATGATGGAACATTTTGAAAAACTCATCTTTTTGAAAGTGAATCTTCCCTTGATATACTTCCAGTATTGAAGCTCGCAGTGGAGCCGTCGCTGCCCGGGCGCCCGCTGTCTGTCCCGGGGAGGCGGCGGGCCCCCCCCGGCCCCGTCCAGCGTCACTGTAATGCCTACGTGTGCCTTACTCCCGGTGCCACAGCCGGGCGTCGCCGCGGGCCTCCCACGGCCCGCACGGGAGAGCCTGTCTTGCCACCACCGGTGAGATACGATGATTCGGGTTTCACTCCCGACCGTAACATGTTTTTTAGAAGTGGGGGCTTAGTAGTTGGTTTTACTAGAACGGCAGAGGAGACGTGAACAGTTTTATTCTGTAGGCTTTTTATTCAATTATGTAAAAACCACAATTCAGGTACTGTATTTTAGTTTAAGAATTGCTTTAATTCAGCAGAGCAGCTTTTGTAGCTGTTCCATGAAATCTGTAAATAAGAGGGGGAGTTCAAGCCATCCCGGCTGAGCAGTTTCTAACTGCAGGCTCTAAAGCATGTCGAGTACAGAATGTTCTGGAACATAAGTGTTTGCTGCCACGGAGGTGCGGTGTCGGAAGAGGAATGTAAACTCAGACGCGCCCCACCGTGCCGGTTCTGTAATGACTTGGTAAAGAGAGCGTCCCGGTCTGTGCTTCTGCTGCATTCAGGTTTTACGTGGTCGACCTCGGTCACGAGCCCCGGACACCTGCTGTCGAGCCCACGCGCCAGGGGCCACGCACAGCAGTCCTGCCGAGGGCGCCCGACCCTGGGACCTGCTGTCTCGACACCAGGAAGCTCTCTTTTGAAATTTGTGCACTGACCCCACTGACCCCAATTTGATCAAATTATGTATAAAATTGTTTTTAGAAGAGACGGCTCATTAACGGGGAGGAGTTGTCCCATCGCAGTTGTAAGAGTAGCCTTAGGCGTCTAGACATTTTATATAACAGGGAAGGTTCAGCCATCGCTGGCGTGTTTCAGAATCCCAAGGACAGCAGGATGAAGCGTCTGTCATTCTTGGAACGATGATCTGTCTTCAGAAGTTTTGCTTCAACATCTAGAAAAAAGGGTTCATTTTCTTATTTCAAACCAATTAAATACTCTGGATGAAACAAGTCACTCATTTGCCTGTGACCTTTTAGAAAAGTTGTTTTGTTAAAAAAGGACCTATTATTAATCTGGATTTGCATTGACTATGTTTTAGTGTATTTATAAATGGTGAACGCAGTTTCTGAAATTAAACTTTTTATTTGCAATTTTCTACCGCTGGAGAACACTGGCTTTTTATTCTGAGGACAACAGGAGGGTCGTCCCCCACCCCCACCCCAGGAGCCACTCGCGCAGCCTCCAGCGTTGCGAATTCCCATCCCGGCCTCCACCCGGGGGTGAGGTGGGAGGTGGGGGGGGAGGTGGGATTCTCGCAGCCGTGACCGCGTTTCTGCTAACGGGAGCGACACGGCAAGACCCCCGGGTCTCGGGTTCACAGTCAGCGCTGACATGCGTTGGGAGCCAGAGGGGAAGAGTCCACAGGCAGTGCCCGGTGCCTCCACCGTGGGCCCCACGCACACCCTGCCCAGGCCTCCCAGCTCCTGAGCACAGCCTCTGTCCAGACGCCCACGGAGCACCGGCCAGGGACAGGCTAGAGAACCACGCTGCCGTGGTGCTTCCCACGGGGGTCGCCGTGAGTGTGCGCGCAGTGATGCTCCGGGGGAACCTTCCCCAGTCCGGGGCTCAGCCCGCTGTTGGTCTGATCCCCGGCCAGGATCTCCCCAAGCCGCAGGAAGTGAGTGCCCAAGTCCACAGCAGAGGGTGCGAAGTTCGGGTGCTGGAGCCCACGGCTTTCCCAGAAGGGGCTCTTGTGTCTGTTTTGCGCATGGAGCCGCAGGGGCCTCCCGTGGGCTGAGGTCAGGACCAGGGCAGGAGCGCCAGGCGCTCACGTGTGTGTGTTTGCGGGAAGGAGGGTCCCGGCTCCCAGCAGTGCGGCTAGGACTCTGGGGGGAGCCTGGGCGCACTCGTTCAGGCCTCCAGGGTCAGCGCAGGTCTCCACCTGGGGGAGGGTCCGACCACAGGAGGACCGCAAGCTGCGGGCGGGCGGGACTCCCAGCCTGTCGGTGTTGGGGAGGTGCCCCCGCCAGAGCAGGGCTTCGGCCCTGGACCCACTTGGGCAGCCCTGGCTGCCGGCTGTGGGGTGAGGACATAGGTGGACTCCGCGTCCCAGCCGTCATGGCTGCGGGGCCGCATGTGGGCAGCAGGGGCGATCTGCTGGGCGTCCTGGGTTGTGCCCTGAGAGGAGGGAGCACAGGGTGACTGCAGGACCGCAAGCTGTCGTTCGCTCGGTGACCGAGGGACCCTCTGCCCTCCAGGCCCAGGCCAGCTCCTGGCACAGAGCCGTAGTGAATGTGGGCGTGGTCCCTGCTCCTGAGAGCCCATGGTCTAGACTCTGTCTCTGTGAAGCTTTCCTGGAGCACAGCCAGCCCTGGCCGTCCACGCTTGTCGTCCCCCCCCCACCCCCGCCCCGCCCGCTGCCGCGGAGCCGTGTGGGCAGACGTCCGGGCCACGGAGCACGAACCTGTGCAGCACGCTGGATCTTTGCTCCCGAGCCGGTCTACGCTTCCGCCCAGCTTTTAGAACCTGTGGCCTTGGGCTGCTCCTGTCTGGTGAGGCATGTGGGCGACAGGCTGCGTGGGAGGTGCGGGAGGGGCTGCGGGGCATGGCCCCTGAGCCCCCACGCATCTGTCCTGCTCTGTGGCCGGTGGGTGGTTCTGGAACCGTGGCCCCGTCCGGCACCGCGGGAATGGCAGACCGTCCCGCAGGAAGGAGTGGCCGACGTCGGCAGTGGTGTGCGAAGGGGACGGTGGCCGGCCTGTTGAGGACAGCGGGTCCGCTGTGTGATGTCCCGCCTGCACTCCGTTCAAACCCGACTCGTGAGCTGCCTGGTTCGCGTGCGGGGCGACACCGCGGGTCAGCGGACCAACTTCCGTGCTCTCGCGTGAGAAAGAGTCTTGTATAAGCTCGGATCTCACCCCGGTGAGTAAATGGATGTGAAACACTGGACTTTATTTAACATTAAAATTCCCTTCCCTTGTCCTTCTGACTCTGTGGCGGCAGCCGGTGGCAGACCGGGCCTCCTCGAGAGCCATCAAGGCCAGAGGAAATGGGAGCAGGCACCCCAGGATCCGAGGAAGGAGCCCCAGCGAGCAGAGAACCCTGAGGGACTTTGGCTGGCATGCTGAAGGTGGTGGCCCGAGCCGGACGCGGTGGCCCCGGGCAGAGAGACACAGCAGTGACACGGCCAGGAGCCCAGGTGCTGGACAACGGGGGAGCCTCAGGAGGGGCCTCGTGCCAGGCCGCTGCCCTGAGGCAGGTGCCAGCTCCCCGAGGTGCGTGTGCCCGGACGGCGGCTGGGAGATAAGCAGGCACCCCGAGGGGGAGACACGACCTCGGGGCCTGCCCCTGTGGGGGCCCCGGGTTCCAGAGCCGGCGGGAGGCCGGCTTACACACAGCTCGGCGGCATCAGGGCAAGTAAATTTCCTCGAGTGAAAAGCTCCAGAGCGCCTGTAGCTTCATGTAGTTCGGCCTGACGCTCGATAACCCGAGACACACCAAAAAACCAGCTATGACCAAGGACTGCGAGACGGACGGGAACAGACAGGAGACGACGCGGGGGGCGTCCGAGGCAGAGCCGAGACGTGGGCTCTGTGACTAACGCGCTCAGGAAGGTACGGCCGGAGAGTGAAATTCTGTAAACACAGAACGTCTGACCCATCGGGAACTCAGTGGGCAGGTCTCGTGTCCGAGGGCGGGTCGCGCGTGGCTCTGCCCGGCCGACCCCGCCGTCCACGGCCACATGCGCCAGCCCCAAGCGGGCCCCGTCCACCAGCCGTGCTGCCAACCAAGGACACGGAATCGGAGACAGAAACACCCTCACGTCCGGAGGGACTCCCGCCGGCGCTGCCATTCGAACAGGAGTGCGGGGGCGTCGGAAGGGCTCTCCGTGCCGGGCCCCGTCATGTTCCCAGAAAAGGCACCTCGAACGGAGCCAGAAGCCACGTGTTCAGCGAAACAAGACTGACAGTCCGCCGCCACCAGGCCTTCCCTGTGACCCCCAAAGGGAGCTCCAGGCAGAAGGAAGGAGAACATTTCTGGTAAAAGTGGGGAAATCGAAATGAAGACTTTCGAACAGGCCCGTCCAGGGGATGAAATACAGCGTCTCAAAGTGCTCGTCCTCATGTTTGCCCGTTTCCGCGGCGCTGCGACTTGTGTCCCGGAGGGATGGCGTGTGCTTCCGTGGGGACTTCCAGGTCAGGAAACGTTCTGCGCGCTGATGTCACGAACTCAACACTGTGTTTTCCTTAAACGTTGAAGGGTTTCTCGTGTTTATCAAGCTACTGACCGTCAGCGACCCCGAGGCCGAGAGAAGGCCGGTGGCGTGAGGGGGCTTCACCCGGTGCCCTGTGCCAGCCACGGCCTCGTCCATGATTGGGGCACTGCTGGTCCCACTGCCCGGCTCTGGCGGGCACCCGTCTGGGGTCCGGGCTTCCGGGGCTGGAGCTGGCCTGTGCTCCCTCCGTCCCCACCTGGCCGCTGCAGACCCAGGCATCCCGTCCCGACTCACGGCGCCCCTGCAGGGCCCATGGGCCACCTCTGGGCCACCTGCACGGCGCCCCGATTCCCAGGGTATCTGAGGAGTCCGAACATGCCTGCCCCTTAGTTTTCCCACTTCCCTTGGTACTTTGTCCTCCATCGCCAAGCTCCATGGGAGATCCAGACAGTATTTTGATGGACATGGAATTGAATTTATATGTGATTTTGGGGCATATGATGTAGTACATGTATATTCCAATAACGTATTGTTTATTTTTTTATTTTTTCTTTGAGATTTTATTTATTTGACAGACATCATAAGTAGGCAGAGAGGCAGCAGAGAGAGAGGAGGAAGCAGGCTCCCCACTGAGCAGAGAGCCCGATGTGGGGCCCGATCCCAGGACCCTGGGATCATGACCTGAGCCAAAGGCAGAGGCTTAACCCACTGAGCCACCCAGGCCCCCGTATTGTTTGTTTTAATACTGACCTGGGGCTTCTGCTCCCAGGCGGCCAGCCGGTCACCAGCACCAACACCACAGTGACCCGCCCAGCCCCCAGCGCTGGGCTCCCCGTGGCCCCCAGGCCACCTCCCCTCAGCCTCTGAGGTTTGCATAAAGCACCTTGCTCAAGCTTTTTTTTTTTTTAAAGATTTTATTTATTTGACAGAGAAAGCAAGAGAGGGAACACAGTAGGGGAGCAGGAGAGGGAGAAGCAGACTCCCCATGGAGCAGAGAGCCCAATGTGGGGCTCGATCCGAGGACCCCGGGATCATGACCTGAGCCGAAGGCAGACGCTTACGCCTGAGCCCACCGGGCACCCCGTGTGCAACTGTTTGGAAGCTCTGATGTGTAAGCTGTTTCATAAAACGCAAACTGGTTTTAAATATTATTTTATCTTCAAACGATCCCTGTCTTGCAGGGTCACTGCAAGTACAACACAAGGACCCTCCTCCCTGCGCCCCTGAGCGGGTCGTGCCAGCCGCGGGAGGCTCACCTCGAGAGGGTCAGCCTCCCAGGAAGGTCCCGCAGATGGAGTGGGGTCTGCGGAGAGCCTCGGACCACGGTGCTGACCCGAGGCCCCAGCCACTTCCACGGAGGGCCGACCGCGCTGACCAGGACCCAGCCCTGCGGCTCGTGTCCTGTGGAGCTGACCTGTCCCCCCCCCCCCCCCCCCAGTCCGGAACATTCCTCAGTGTCTCCGGCCTCCACACTCCCGCAGGCAGGGGTCGTTCTGTGGCGCCCCGCGAGCTGGCTTGGGTGGCGGCTTCACGACTGTGCTCCTGCTTCGGTGCAGAAGGCCTACCAGGCCCCTCGCCACAGGCCTTCTTCCCTTGTAATTAAAAACTATGTCGTGGGGCGCCTGGGTGGCTCAGTGGGTTAAGCCTCTGCCTTCGGCTCAGGTCACGGTCTCCGGGTCCTGGGATCAAGCCCCGCGTCGGGCTCTCTGCTCAGCGGGGAGCCTGCTTCCCTCTCTCTCTCTGCCTCTCTGCCTGCTTGTGATCTCTGTCTGTCAAATTAAAAAATAATAATAATAAAATAACCATTCAAAGTCTTTGGTAACCTGAAACTTTAACCAAATGGGATAAAATGCTAGAGCATTGGTTGCTGGAACTAGGTTTGTGCTTTAAAAAAAAAAAACTATGTCGTGTGGCGCTC